CCCCCCCCACCACCACCACCACCATGACACGATATAGATCATTTAGAAAACGGGCTCCTGACCTAACTTACAGCTCACAGGTTAGGGCCAACGTGAACTGATGGGAATGGGTGCCCGGATATAGATAGTGAAAGATCTTGTCAGTTTGTTATAGTTTTTTTTAGTTAGTTATAGTAGAGGTTTTACTGCCCTCGCAACTGCACAAGGTCATAGGAGCGCTCGTTAGTGTTTGAGCGCTTAACCAGCTGCTTGCACTGTATGCTTCCTGAGAAGCTGAGAATGTCTTCTGTGGGCAACAGAAAAGCATCTAGCCGTTAACCAACTGATCGCAACCTCAGTTCTTTCTTGTAGTATCTCCATATTTTTTTAAGATTGAAAAAAATGTGACTTCTTCGTAAACTCACTCTTTGTTATAAACTGCCTTCACTGCTAAAAAAAACAGAGATAGGAAAAGAAAGTACCTAGCCGCTATCCAACAGAAGCTGGTCCCAGGAGCACAAAATCACAATTTTCTCTTCTCTGTGTATTTGATTCAGGAATGTTTACACTGCCATTCTCAGTCACTTTATGGTCACCTCCCCCCCCCCCCCCTTCTCATCTTAACGTAAGATTAAGGACTACAGCAAGTCACATAAAATTAATGCAATTGTGTCACAACACGGTGGAATCAGGCTTTCGTCAATTTACAACTCGTGGGCAATATTGCATACAGACGTAAGTCATTTTTTGGCAGCCTTTGAGATACGTCAGTATGCAATACTGCCCGCGAACTGTTCAAGGCTTGTGGTGCCCTACTATATAAGGATGCGAACCAACTTCACCCACCCCACAGTCCAGTATTTATTTATATAAATATATTATACTCTCAGCATCGAATGACAAGCGTACTATAATCTCTAAACAGAAAGAAAGGTGCCGGATACTTTTCTTAAAGCAGTCACGTGACAGTCTGATGCTGGCCTGTCTCACAATCAAACAGCTAACCACACATACCGGAGACCTACAAAATACTAATACTAATGTGCGTCCGTAAATTATCCAATGAGATGAATTGTTAATGTACATGCATATCATTAACCCCGTCCGTACGTCGTGTTTTACTATCGTTTCCATATGACGTGGGGAACTCTGTGTCCCCCCTTTCTAATGAGGAAATTTACTCGCTAATATGAAATCATAATCGCTAATAATAAAATCATCTGATGAATTATTAATGAATATGAACATCTTAAAATTTTCCACTGAATGTATGTGTACATCATTTAGGAAATGATCCGATGGATCATTAATGTACAGTATTACATTGATAAATTATCCGATAATTATAATAAACTCTTGCCTGCGTAGTTTCAAACATCTGCAATAAACAAAACCTACGCAGGATAGAAATATTTGGCCTTTGAACAGTTTCCAAAGACAATGTTTTGCTTTTGTGAAAGTACTAGTTAGTAGAAACAGTGTTGAATAACACCGACTCTTTCTTCTCCACTGACATATTTCCAAGTTTCTTGTGTCCCAATTTCATCCTCAACGCTTGAGATGTGAAAATGTTGTTTAACCTGAACTCCGTAAAAAAAAAAACCCCAAAAACAACCAATAATCAAGAAGAAAGTTCTCTTCCTTCCGATTCATCTCGCAAAAATCTAAGCTCAAATTTTGTGTAAAACATGTTCTTTAACTCTTCGTAGTTGACATAATATGGGTTTCATCTCTATGTTGTGGACGTTTTGAGTTATGGCTCGTTGCAAGTTCAGTATATCTCGGTGTTTTGAAAGTTTCGAGTTGTGTTATGTGAGGCAACGTGGTGGAATCAGGATCTGTTCAAATTTTTGGCATGTAGATTTATTGGTGTCATCTTAAAGCTTGTTCACTTGTCTTTATTTCAATGGAAAAAAATATCCATTTACCTTGAATACAAGTCGAGATATTTGCGAATGAAGAAGGAGGGGTTACCTGTTTTCAGAGATAAAATTAGTGAGAAAATGGCCGCCAAAGATTAGTTATTCCCTTAGCTTAACTCATTCGCTACGTATTTTTTTTCGGCTAGTGGACGAATTTTTTTCCGGAGGGCGAATGAGATGATGACTAGTGGGCAGTTAAAAGGTCTTTGGGGCCACAAATTCAAATAAATATCAACATATTATATACCAATATTTTCAGTATGGATTGTAGAATACATCTGTATTGTTTATTTATGTATTTTTCAACTTTGGTTCCTGTACGAGGCGATTATGCAACACAATTTTGATTGGATGTGGATAAAATTTGAAAATATAAACTTTATAATCTTTGGTGAAACTTAAAAAATATGCTTGCACCTAGTCAAATAATACTTCAAAATAACCATAAATGAATATAGAACTGGAAAATATTGAAAAGTATTGCAGTTATTTACATACATTCCATAATATTTGTACCTTTGGATCATAACATCCGATATTGAAAAAAAAAAAAAAACTAAAATCGTGAAAAACGATCACAAACAGAAAAAAACCCACTC